TGGGTTGCAAAGAAGAAAAAAGAATGAAAGACTAAAATTTTCAGTATTAGGCAAAGAAGAAAGTTTGTATGAAGCAAATGTTCATGCAGAATGTGTTTATTGATAAAACTTGGGAGATACACATGTAGCCTTCGTAAGTACCCTACTTTTTTTAAAGCAATATACACTAATTAGCCACAAGGACAACGACATGAGAAATGAATTTTACGGATACCTCAAAAACTTATCTATGAATGGAATTTTAGAATGCTTTAAATAGAGCTATAAAAATAGGCAAAACATGTTGATTTAAGTTGGAGTTCTTTATTATTTATGGAACTATAGGAATTTTTTTTTCTTGTGATGCTTAGAAGTTTCAGTGTGTTACAAAGATTTTTTCTTCTACCAGATTGCATCTTTCTTGAAGGCCAGACCCATGTCTGATTCATATTATCTCCATGTGTCTAGTAGATTTTGTCTCTATAAAGTAACTATCAGATATTTGTTGAATGCAGAGCCCATATGCCACCCTTTTGCAAATTAGAAATAAAAGCATGCTTTCTCCAGAAAAATGGCACCCTGCATCAGGGATGGTTGATTGTCAGGTATTGTTCAGGCTTGAGACAACCTGTTTCTTAAAGCACCTACCTCTTGTGTCCTTCTTGAAATTAATCACATGAATTCAGAAATGAGAAGGGATAGTTTTATGTTAGGTCTTTTGTAGGGAAGTAATGCACTGTGTCTGTGTCAAAGTTTCTTAAGTCAGGCTTAACCACTGGACTGAATCATAAGTAGAAAATGTGTCATGGGATTAAAGGTCTTATTTTTTACTGTACTAAAAAATAAATAACAGTTTGGTAAAATGGTGTAATTATAGTTTTTCTTCTAGCATTTGGATATTAAATTAGAGGATACCATAATTCAGGAATGATGGCCTTTTTTTTTATCTGAATGTGTCCAGATAGAGGGCCCTGTGTTTTGCTAAAGACTGTAATTGTTACTGTACTTATAATAATTCTCTAGTCACTCATCATCAGCACCTAAACAGCTTGCCTTGGAAAGTTACGAAATCCCAGAGTTAATGACCATGCTTACATTTTGGCCAAGCAATCTAAACTCTTATCCTCAATTTTCCACAGCAGCTGGATCTATTCTAGAGGTAAATACCTTAGAGAAGAGAATTGACAGGAGCAAAATACATGCAGATATATGTTATATAAACAGCATGATAATTCTTTGCTTTATTATATTTTAAATGGAAATATGCTTTGTGTCAGATGTCACAAATTAGTGAAATACTTTGAGAGAAATATAATTTTAAATATCTCTACATTCTTATGGATGAATGTCCTCTAATTTGTTCCTGAAATCCCAAATCTAACTTAAGCAATTTGTGACAATTATTTTATCAGTGCTTAAATTTAATTTTCCTTCTTCATAGTTAGTACCCACTGTACACATTTCTATATTAATATACATACATATTTAAATTAATATAGCATTAAATCTATAAGTATAACCAAGTTTATTATAAATATGTGATAACACATGCAAATTATTTTTTAGACAGGAACTCTTTCAAATAGCCAACTGAATTATATAAATAAAACATGAATGACAAACTTTTTAGGTATTTATTTTGTCACATATTACAACCATTCTCTATGTTATTCATTTTTCAAATATAAAAGAGTTACCATTACCAGATGGAAAATAATATTCAGAAATGCAGACATGTCTGTGGTAGGAAGAAGATAGAAACAAATAACCAGCTTCACTCACTAAACCAAATTTCTTAAATTTCGAAAAGACCCATTTTTCATGGGTCAAATTTGTCCCTTGATCAGTATACAGAAAACAATCAGGTTGAGTCATAAACAGTAAAGTAGCATGTCTGGAAGGAAAGAGATTAGAAATGAAATAAAATGGGATATGGGCTGTCTAAGGCTACCCCAATCCTCACTTTCACCCCCCTTCACCTAGGCGAGTACACGCTGAACAAGCACCAAAAACAACCAATAAATGAAAGGAAACTCACAGGTCACTCGGGGTCATTATTTTCACATACCTTTGAATAATGAGAGCATCACATGTCAGCCAGAGGAGAACAAAATGTCACATTCTCCAGCTAAAGGTTGGCCTTGGTCAAAGGTCACAGAAGGGAGGCCAGGAAATAACCTAAGAGGTTAGGCCGGGTGCACAAAGAAAGGTCACCAAATGTCAATGAAAGCATGCAGCTGTTTGGAGATGAAACAACTGAGGCAGCCCTTTGTGCTGACATCGGCTAGAAAAAATGTCTCTGCTGACATTTTTTTAGCTGGCAGTTTTATAGGACATTGACATTAATGTACCCAACCCCGAATTAGCCTTTTAAAAAGCAACAGTTTGGAAGTTAAGTGCAGCAGTTTCCAAAGAATCATAACTGTGACATTTTTATTTCAGATGATTAATACAGCAATGGACTTCTAACACAAAATTTAGATTTGATCTGAGCTCTTTCATCATGACAATGTGTTAGCAACTAGGCCGTGGGACAGGTAACAATCAGTAACTAGTATTTTCATGTTTTAAGCACTGTTATTATTCCTTCAACTAAAAGGTATTCAGAAACCTCACCTTATTACAAGGTAGGAAGACATGAGTGATTTCCACATTTCACTGGGCCTAGCTGTTGGCAGCTCTTGATCTAGTAATAAAATCCAACCAAAGGAAAGAGAAAAGACTGAAACATTTGCAACCCCATTTTAAAGGAATTCCTGCAAAATACTTGCAGACTAAATCTTTATCTATCTGAGTATTTCCATCTTAAATATCAGCCCTAAAAGTAACAATTCTCAGAGAAGTGGTGGTAGTGCTCCCAAGTATTCTCAGGCATCAAACTCTACAGGAAAGAAGTTTAGAAAAGATTGTCACCTTGAATTATTCAGATACTTAACTTACAGTTGATCCACCCTAGCAGCTTCAGTGTTCTCTGTGTGTGGAGGTCTGTTTTACACACACACACCTGATACTCATCCAAGATCAGCAGCTGTTTCCAGACAACATTAGAACATCTCACATCTATAAACATCCTTTACTGATTCACAGGCACAAGACCATATTTTAATTCAAGATGTACTTTTCAGTCCTCAGGGTTCTCACAAGTGGCCCCAATTTACAACTTAGGCAGCTCCACGTTTTTCCCAAATCTTTTTCAGACAGTTGAACCAGTTTCTTAATGTCTTTTCCCCAGTTCAACATTCTGTTTAAAAAGAGAACGTTGTGGATTTATACAATAAAAATAATAATAATAAAAGTTGGCTGGGTGTGGTGGCTCACACCTGGATTCCTTGCACTTTGGGAGGTCGAGGCGGGTGCATCACCTGAGGTCAGGAGTTCAAGAGCAGCCTGCCCAACACGATGAAACGCCGTCTCTACTAAAAACACACAAAAAAATTAGCCAGGCATGGTGGTGGGTGCCTGTAATCCCAGCTACTCAGGAGGCTGAGGCAGGAGAATTGCTTGAACTCAGGAGGCAGACGTTGCAGTGAACCGAGATTGCGCCACTGCACTCCAGCCTGGGCAACAAGAGTAAAACTCCATCTCAAAAAAAAAAAAAAAAAAGTTTACACAGAAACAAAACTCTAAAGCTTATTTCACAAGCAGGGGCCATCTCTCCCTAAAACCTCTATTCCAGGAGATTCTCTTTTTTGTTGTTCCTCCATAAACTTACAGGGAGACTGCCAAACAGTAATACTCACCCCGGGATGACTGCAGGACTCACCCAGAGGCTAAACTACCTTCCTACCTAATGGGCCCTAGACATATGAAGCCTGTCAGGATAACATCATAAATCATGGAGATGGGAAGAGAGGGGGGCAGGAGGAGCCACACAAAGCCTTTGCACTTAGGAGAAAGAGTTATTTAACACATCAGGGAAGTGCATTTCATAAATGAAGTCAGTGACTTGAACATGTCATATTCGATCTATATGGAGGTTACTGAACTTTCTTTAAAAAGTCATTTTTATGCTGGTTGCTTTTCTTATGAAATTTTCTACACCTCTAGTGTATAAAATGGATGTGTAAGCAGCTGATTGAGAAATAGCTAAGGTCAAAGTTAATAAGGAAAGCAGAAGGTCTAAAAGCAGGCTGCCTTTTCTTCCGCCTTTGAGTTCAAGAGACTCCGTATGATTTGGGCATGACATACTAATGTTTCTGACACCAGGCCTTTTTTAAAAATCTGCTTTCAAATAACTGATACTTGGGTGGTAATGAATGTTGAAGATGTCTCATTGCTGGAATTACAAAAATGAACTTTCCTCTTCTGATTTCATTCATGAGCTAGCTTTTCTGAGTAAAATGATATCACAGACTTGGAGGGATGGAACATTGCCTCAAAATGTCAAGACAATAGAAGTTACAGAATGTGCAAGTTGGAGAAGAAAGAAAAGGGTGGGAATGTAGAATTAGGTGTCCCTTTGAAAACAAAGAAGAAAGCAAAATACTCAGCAAGTATATCAACAAGTACAAACTGCACATCTATTTTGGAAAATGTTTTGTATCTCAGTCTTTCTGGATCCCTTACACTTAAGTTGTGAGAATCTCTGGATTATTTTGTCACATAAAAGAGTATAAAGCCCCCATCAAATCAACAGATAGGTCTGCTCCCTCAGATGAGATTGAACTGAAACGTGGAACATATACAGTGAGGTTCATCAGATAAACACGTGCCAAACTGAAGACTTCTATCTATTTTTAAATGGATGCTACAGATTGTCTGCAAGAACTACTCCCTTCAGCTTCAGATGTGATAAAGCTTGATATGATGCTCTTAGACCTTGAAACAGAAACCATATGTGGTAATAAACAAACAAACAAAATCCCTGGATACTGCAAAGGAAAAAAAGAGAGAAAACTTACTCAATTTTAGAAGACTTGAAAAACTTGTAATTATCTTCCTTTGGTGTTCACTGACAGGAAAAAAAAAAGAAATCCCAGTACCTAAAAACTTCTGTATTTCCACATTTATGTTCAAATTATTCTCTAAATGGCTTGAAATAATTGCCTCTTCTGCTTTATATTAACTAAACTTTTTTTTTTTTTTTTTTGTCAAGTCATGGTTCTTTTTCTAGTATCTGAAAATGTGCCAAACTAAATGTCAGTGCCTTCATAAGGAAGATTTAGAGTTCCCTTTGGAGCAGATAGAAGCCTCAAATGACAAACATGCTTATCCTGAATGCCCCTCCTGCTGGTGTGACTTACCTCAGAACAAGGTCAAAGAAGCCGCCAGAGAAGAGCTACGATTTGTTTGACTTGACATTCCCTGGTATTTCCCTTTGTTATCCCTGTATCATCGTTCTGTGGCAGAGAGAGAGCAAGGCAAGCGCTTGCTTTCAGGTCTATCTGGCTGGTAGCCCTGCATACCACAGAGAGCTACTGTGGATTTCACTGTATGAAAAGCCTCCATTTGACTTTAATGCTGTTAAAGCATTGCAGGGGCAAGTTTTGAAATCTTTCCTTAGGTCAAACCCTAGCTGGAAAGTTCGCCCCATCCTCCTCCTGGAAGGACTCTTGTATGGCCTTGTAGCTAAACTTGAGCAACCACACACTGGAGCAGAGCGGCTGGCACAGCCCAGGCCAGGTGGGTGGTCCAGGCAAGCCCCAGTCTCCTTGTGTCCATGACTGCTAAGGTGCGTCCAGAAGTACGAGGACTGAAGGAGTCAGACATGTGAGTGTTTTTGCAATCAGTCAGCAAGCATCCACTGCTTACCTATTAGAGGACGACATTTGTTCTGGGCATTGGGAATACCAAGTGGCAAAGTCATGCTTTTAATTTTCAAGGTGTTTAATAGAGAACAAGCCAGGGTTGGAACGCTCTACCCTGGAAGTCCCTGCTATTAAATTTGGCTTTGCTTTTGAGTAATCACCCCCTTAAAGACCCAGGGGAAAAAAATCTTATCTCAGTGAAAAACAATTTCCTCCCTCCCTGACTCACTGTTCTCTCTGACTTTGGCCTTTCACAGTGGCACACATTGTTGGGACATCTAAAATACCACTGGAGAATTTAAGGATATAATCTACCTATGTTACATGAATGCATAAATATACTTTCAATGAATTAGCAGAAGTCCCGAGCCGTTCCTCCTCAGGCACCTTCCTATACTCTTGGTGAATTTGTCTAGTATGTGAAAAAAGACTTTCTCTCAGATTGTTAGAGCCAACTACAAGGCCTGCCCCCATAGAAAAGTTCCTTCTCTGTCCTTTTTCTCCTCTCTTCAGATCCCCTTTCTTGACCTTTCTATCGTAGCATCCGAACCTGCCTGCACCTGCTCATTGTCCATTTGAACTGCTTCTCTGCTGGACGTATTCCTGGGGCCCACTCTGGCCTACTGCCTTTGGGCTTCACCTGACCTCGCTCTGCATTTACAAAACAATCCCCAAAGATTTCCACCATACATTTCAAACACCAAGAAGGACGCTGATTTTGAAACTCAGCTACACTGCGTAGAGGAACTCCCTAAATACACCCCAATCACCCAATTTAGGGAAGTAAGACTTTTCTGACAATGTGAAAGGGAAATGACCTATTTTAAACTAAAGTATTGAAAATGTCTAATTATTCTCACTCCAAAAGGAAAAAAATGAAAAAAAAAAATCATAAAGAAAAGGAACAATCCCCTCTTATAACCTTTCCATTGAAGGAATGGACAGTAATGGGTATTGATGTTCATTGGGTAATGAACATTCATTGGGTAATGATGTTCAATTTATGCATAAGGAGACAAAGGGGCATTTTTTCCTGTATGGCTTCTTTGCCAGAGACCCTTTGGCAATGTGAGGTTTCTCTCAAGGCATAAGGGAGAATTTCTTTATGTCGTTTTGCAAGGCCCCTTTCATTCCTTCTGACATCTTTATCCTTTTCATTTTTCTCTCCCTAAATGAATGGATGCCTATGTATGTATATATTTTCTGAAATACAAATGTAGAATGGCATGTAAGTACCATAAATCTGAGATTTAATTTAAATGCAATATGTAAGCAAGGCCTGTTAGGTCCTGGGTCCCAGTAAGAAATGGGATTCACCCTTAATATGGTTTAAGTGAAGATATGTTAATGATAGGACTCTAAAAAGGTGTAGGCAGAGTTTTAGGAACAAATAAATAATTTACCCAGGGACTAGCAACGTTACAACCTCTTGGGCTGAAGGGACAATGAGAAGAAATAATGTTAACAGAACCCAGTGAGAACTGGAAGCACAGAGGAGGGGCTGCTAAGTTGGAGCTGTAGTTTTGGAGAAATGTAGTAGCTGCCCAAGATGTGGTGCTGAAGCTACAGGGCAGCAGAGAAGAAAAAGACTGGCTTTCCTCCCTTGCAGCTCAGTCAACTCCTGCCAGTGCATCTTGTGGCAAAATACCATCTGTAATCGGTCAGTAAAAAGATTCAGTAGGGGTTAGCTTCCTGACACACAGCAGGGAAAACATGGGTTGCAAAGGAATTTGGTGTGGAAAGTAAGGAATAATTTGTACCAAATTTTCCATTTAAATATGAGAGAATTAGAGTGAATTCAATCATCAGGTTTATAACTAACTTTCAGGAATTTAAACAATGTGGAAGGATGATGCTATGGATTGAAATATGTCCTCCCTAAATTCATATGTCGAAACTCTAATCCCCAGTATAAAATGCAGCAAGAAGGGGGCCATCA